GGGGGAAAGCTCATTTGCCAGCAGTCTTCTCTTAGTGATCAATCTTATGTTTATATTAGTTTCTATGTTTTATTTCCAGAAACCTTCCCTTGGCTGTAGTGCTATCTCTATTGCTTTTGTTCTCAGTGAAAATCTGTTTTGTATAAAGAAGATAAAGGTGTCAACTAATTAGTTTTCTAAAGTGATAATTGTAGATCCCATTCCTGTTTACATAGCATCTGTGTGTTAGCTGAGGTTTCTATCCCACCCGGTCCCGCAGTCATTCAATCCCAAAGTGGGTCTACATTAATTATAAACTGGTTGGCCTAGTAGCTCAGGCTTCTTATTGATTCATTCTTACATCTTAAATTAGCCCATTATTCTTTTCTATGTTCACCACGTTGCTTGTTACCTTCATCAGCAAGGTGTTCTCATCCTGCTCCCTCTGGATCTGGGTGACAACTGCAGACTGACTCTTTCCTCTTCCCTCAATTCTCCTGTTCTGGTTGCCCTGCCTCTACTTCCTGCCTGGCCCCTGACCAATCAGCATTTTATTAAAATACAACTAATAAATCTTTACAGGGTCAAGATCATTGTCCCACAGCATCTGTGTATAATGATCAGAGACTTCCATCCAGGCTGTCTCAAAGTGCACTGCAATGTAGATATAAAATCTGCTTGTAGTCCATCATAGATTCCTTTCCTGCATAGATCTCATAGAATTAAATGAATCTTTGCACATATTATAAACTGACTGATCCTTCCTTCTCTTGATACAGTGTCAGAAGACTGTAAGTTATTTAAACATCTGACTCCTATTCTCAAACAAAGCCAAAAGGCTAAAACTGCCTCAGGAGAAACTCTTAATAACTTTGACCTGGCATTGACCACAGTTTTCAGCATTGCAGATGTACGTAATAAGTAGAGAATATCAGAGATTCAAAAATCCTCATCCTTTTAATTATCTTTTAATTAACTTCCTGTGTCCTTTAATGAAGATTTCAGTTTTCATAATCATACAGAGTTCATGACTCCCGCAGGTCCTTAGTGTCATAGAGCTAGATTTTCACATAATAATTGGTTACTTAAAATGCAGTAGTGTGGTAGACAGGCTATAAGCTGATGAGTCTGATTTAGCATAGTCTTTGAAAGGTTTTTTGTTCCACTGCCCTAGACTGAGATCCTTTAGGTCAGAGTCATTTGGAGTTTCACCAAATCAAATAGTAAATGCTGAAATTCCTTAAGCAAGTGATACAGGTTTTACTGAAACAGAGAAACTGTAAAGTTGGATTTATATCAGAAGTATGATTAGCTCCTGTCTCCATCAACTCTTTCCAAGATAGTCCGAGGAAGGGGGATGATTTGTTTTTTAATCATTTAAGGAGATGGAAATGTTAAACATCTTAACTTGACAATTACACATTAATTACATGGATCAAATCACCACACCCCACAAATATGTACAATTAATAAAATAATTTTAAGAGTAAAGGAAACGACACAGTGATAAATGAGTCAAAATTATTTTATGGAAAAATCTAAATTCTTTAATGGCAAAATGATGGCAAAAGGTCCTTCTGTCTGTGTTGCTTTCATTGGTTAATAAAGGAACTGCTTTGGGCTTATAGCAGAGCTATAAGGGAACAGAGCTAGGTGGGGAAAACTAAATGGAATGCTGGGAAGAAGAGGGAGAGGGAGAAGCCATGGATCCTTCACCTGAGACAAACGCTGGTTAGAATCTTTGCTGGTAAGCCACTGCAATGTGGTGATATACAAATTAATAGAAATTGGTTAAATTAATATAAGAGTTAGGCAATCAGAAGATAGAGCTAATGGACCATGCAGTGTTTTAATTAGTACAATTTCTGTGTGATTATTTTGGTTCTGGGTGGCTGGGACAAACAAGCAGGCCTCCTCCTACAAATTGGTGCTCAACATGGGGCCCAAACCCACAACGCTTGGATTAAGAATCCCATGATCTACCGACTGAGTTGCTTTCTCCACTTGCTTGAGATACAGTCATTCTCAATGAAGGTGGTCCTGAAGTCCCTTGGAGAGTGTCACTTACCTGATAGCATCCTTCATTGTTCTGCAATGATCTCCTCTACCATAGTGAATAATATAGTTTATAATTCTGTAACACAGAAAGAGACATATTAGACAAAAAAGAAAAAGACAAGACACTTCCAAACGTTATCAGGAAGACCTACTCATTCTATCTCTTACCGAGCACAGAAGGCTAGAGTCACTGTGAATGGTGACAGCCACATCATTTAGTTTAATATGAAACCTGGGCTGGAAATCAACTTAGTTGTTCAGAGTTTCAAATGATGTGTCTTCTTTTCATTTAAGCAAATCCAATAATGCATGTCCTTTTAAAAACTCTGTTATTTAAAACTGTAAATAAGACATTGACTACAAATCAACAATAGTTCATTTATTTTCATATTTCATCTGAAATTATTACCACTCTAAATTGATTTTTTATAGATTTATTTTGGAGTTTGTCTCAATTAGCCTTGTTTGCTGAGACTGGCCTACACTCATAAATATATTTGCTCTGAAGATGAAGCTTAGCTGTTCTGTTTACTGTTTTCAGTAAACTGCACTCCAATGAAATACCAAGAGGTATTTTGTACTTTATCCATCTAACCAATGAGATCTCAGACAGCAACCTAGAGATCTTTCAAAATGTAATATTTCACACCAGTATCAATAGAAGATCTTCTTTGTGTTAGTCTCAATTTTTATTCACTCAGTTCGATAAGGTGTGTGTGCAGTATACTTTCTGTGGTCCTTGGGTTACTGTAAAGGCTAAAAATGAAGGTGAATATTGTGTGGAGCCCATTGGTATTGATTGAAATGAAGGTGTGTGTGCAGTACATTTTCTGTGGTCCTTGGGTTACTGTAAAGGCTAAAAATGAAGGTGAATAGTGTGTGGAGCCCACTGGTATTGATTGCCTGTCAAGACTTACTCAAAGCTCAAATCCAGTGTAAGGTGGTGGGATTCAGAACTCTGAAAAGCAGATATCGCATTCCTGTTTGGTCAGCCCATTCTTTGTCAAATAAATAACCTAAAACCTAGAGAGTAGCCACTATGTCTCCAAGACTTTATAACACCTCTGCATTCAGAAATCAATATACTGTTAGATTTTACTGTTATTAGAGTCTGATTACTTCTTCAGAGAGATTTGAATTAATAGTCTTCTGTAATAGTACCTTTTTAGTCTGGACCATTTATACACAGTTTGTAAACCTCGGGGACTATTTTTAATATGCAATATATGTTCATTAATATTTAATGCATTAAAAAATAAACCTGAGAAAGTTAATACCATTAATTTTAAATAGTTTTAAGAATTAATTAGCTGACTTATTTTCAAATACATAGCATCTTTTTAAAGGAAAAGTAACTTCATTGTTCAGTACAAATTAGTGAGAAGATGACTTTCTTATATTTTTTCAAGTATTTTTACTAGATAGAAAACAACTGGACTCCCATATATGCTCCTTAAATCTGTTGTGATCTGTCATTGTGGTTGAAGTACAAAAGGAAATGTAGACCTCGGGTAGATATGTAGCCAGAGAAGTTAGGTTATTATGGGCTCCTAAATGGTGTCAAAGACCAACAGGGGTCCAGCAAACACACTTTGGGAATCAGTGTTTTTTCAAACACAAAGCCTTATTCTGCCCGCTTACTGAAGAACATGACTACTCTAAAGTCCCATTTTAATTATTCAGAAGTAACGATGTGGATCAATTGGCCTAAAGATTATAAAAGCTACTCCAGGAAGCACTAGCTTTTCCAGAAAGATTTCTCTAGTTCAATGGCTGTTTGTCTAAGAAGAGGTATTTGGGGCCATAACACTGTCCTGTCGTATTATGTACTTCCCCTTAGATATTCTGGATTTCATAAAACACTGCATTATGTCTTACAGAATAGTTGCCCATCATAGCCATTTGGAAATTTATTCTCTTATTAATTCCTGGGCTAGGTATCCAGGCAGGTTCTTTACTTCTTCTCTGGTCCACAGCTAGTATAGCCCATCGTTATCATGCCCATTTGGTAGTTATTTCTTTTTGCTAATTGTACAGTGATATTTGTGCGTGTGCACACACATGGTGGAGGTGCTGGTGTTAGGATGAATCCTGATTACATACTTTTGCAATTGTTTGTCTTCAAAAAGACAAATTTTCCCTTATTACAATCCATGAATTAATACTTTTATACCAAATGCTCCATATTATTTTCTCCATTATAGTGAAATATCTCCTCAAATTTTTTAGCTCAGTCCTTTTATTTTTCATATAAATAGAAACAAAGAGGAAAGGGATGACTTTCTCAACACTATGCAAAAAAAATTACAGGAAAATTTATAACCATCTCTTTATGGATACATAACACCACTGTGTTTAGACAGTATAGTAAAATACATCAGTGTGGATTGAGGAAATGTATCTAGGTCACTCTTCAAAGTCATTATTTTACCTACTAAGGATCACATTTGACCCAGACAGTCTTAAATGCCAACAGCACAGTAGTGTTGAGAGAGATGGAGACCTTGCCAAGAAAACCATGAACAAGTTCTGGATCCCACACCCAAGTCAAACCAAGATGCCAGTAGGTTTTGTTCTTTGTAAAGGGAGCCAATTCAGAGTAGTTCTGTCCAAATATATCATCCTGAGCTATACCTGGAAATATTAAATGATACAAATCTTACCCTGATATTGGAGGTCAAATATGTATCAATAGATTTTAGTCCAGTAGAGCACCATAAAAATCAGTTGGAGGGCTAGAGAGATGGCTCAGAAATAAAGAGCATCATCTGCTCTTCCAAAGGTCCTGAGTTCAATTCCCAGCAACCACATGGTGGCTCACAACCATCTGTAATGGGGTCTGGTGCCCTCTTCTGGTCCGCAGGCATATACACAGACAGAATATTGTGTACATCATAAATAAATAAATATATAAATATTTTGAAAAAAATCAGTTGGATAATCTTCCATTACCTTCTTTTCAGGAAGGAAGAAATGGGTCTCCATGGAACTGTGGATGGTCTTTGTGTCAGGTAATAACTTTTTAACCTTCCTGGCCACCTTAGTCTGTCCTGCTTCCAAGTACTTAGATGATGCCAAGTGTGAGTTCTGTCACAATTATTTCTCAAATCCTTGCCTGTCCTTTCTACCCAAAAATGCTACATTGTGGGTTGATATTGCCGCTTACCTCCAACCTGATCATCTTCCTCTCAGAAGTAACTTTGTCTTTGCCAAGAATCTACTCATCTATTTCGGATTCTGCATTGGCTTCTACTGATCCCAGCTTGAGACAGCAATGCCCAAGACTGATCTTAGGAGTTAATAGTAAGCATGATTTAAAGATAACTGGAAAACCACACCCTCTCCTGAAGTATCTTCTCTTATAGATATTAAGTATGACCCTTGGGAATATATCATCAAAGAACAGCTAGCTACAGCTAAATTTATATAGGCCACTGGTGAAGTCACTGGATGTACTTTGTCTAATTAACGACTACAATGTCTTCATAAGATATTATTAGCACAGACTTATAGTTGACAGAACCAAAGCTCAAAGACTTCAATAGCATGTCCAATTTAGCACAGATAAGATATAATATAAGCAGTCTCATATTTCAGTCTTTTTGAATCTACTATACCCAGGTCACTCTACCTGGCAGACTAGTGTCTAGGAGAACCTTGGGCCTCCTTAAATTCATTGTAGTTTACATGTAAGCAAAGTTTGGCATTTTCCCCCTTTTTTTCATTTACTTAAGCACCTTTTTACTTCGAGGTTGCATGTTCATTCATGCTTGTCCAAGGGTAGGGCAGACACCTGTACTTTGCAGTCTGCTTAATTGAGTGCAGGGGCAAAGCTGTGTTGTGCACAACCTCTAATCCTTTTGTCCCTGCTAGATAACAGGAAATTAAATCACTGTAATTTGCTCCAGGCCAGAAGTTCATTGACCAGGACAAGGTCCCTTTACTTATTGTTTTTAGCTTAAAGATACCATTAACACTACAATGCTCTATAGCCAGAATAAAGGAATTATTTCAAGTGATGGATAGAAGGTTTGTCCTTAGAGCCTGAGATATATGTTATACCCATCAGCTTTTGTTGACACTGTTACATCTCATTTTCTAATTTGACTTAATCTTCGATGTTGTGTAATTGAAATCTCTAATGCTTAGGGAACCAAACACAAGATAAATGCTTCCTTGACCAGTCAGCTGGTTAGTAACTGGATAATCACTTCCTGTCAAGGTCTTCAGTTAAGTACTATTGTTTGTCATATTAGGTAATAGGGAATCGTTACAGGAATTAGAAAGAAAATAAATCCTGGAGTAGGACATATTTTCAACCTATCATCCCCTCTGCTCACTGCAGATTTATGTCAAACTATGCAGAAAACTGATATACCCCATCTGGCATCTCCCAAATCTAAACATCAACTCAACGCCCATGTAGGTCTCACTTGAAAGTTGTCTGACATTGTCTTCACTGTCTAAGATGATTTAGATTTATTATCGTCTCTACCATCCATACCAGGTATGTGTGAGATCTAAGTGGACTCCATCCTGAGGCAAGATTCCTTTCTTGTGATTTTTCATGATATACATTTCTGCACCTTCATGGAAATCAGAGAGCTCCAAAAGCCTATCTGACTTTTAAATTTTTTTACTTAGGTTCAGGGTTTTTTAATTATTAATTTTACTACAAACTAATGAAAAGTAAGCATCCCTAGAAGGTCCTCCTGAAAGGTTCAGTAGGTTAGTGCTGGAAGGAAAGCCACAGTCTATGACTCAGGCACATTAGTTTCTGCCTTTGACTCTATACACCATCTCTGAAGAGTTTCCAAGATCTTTGGCCTTTATTACGTTTTCTGACTAGTGAAAGACGAAATATTCTTGATACACTGTTTTTTTTTTTTTCCGGGTCAAAGTTACCTCAAAGAATATCTCAAGACAGTTACATTGAGCAATAAAATGTCAGTAGAATGTACAAACTTAAATGAAAATTCAATATATCATGATTTTTCAAACAATTAGGGGGCAAAGAGATAAGCATAAACTTTTCTTTCTATACATAACTACATTTTCTCACTCATATGGCAAAAATCTTATGGCACAACTAATTCATCTACATAGTGGCTGATGAATTGTTTAGAGGTAGTTTGAAATATAGTTCTTTATTTCAGAGTCCTTAAAAATGCATTAGGTTCTATCTAAATGACCCAGTAAGTAAGGTGCTTGCTGTAAGCCTGAGAACCTGAGTTCAGTTCCTGGAATCCTTTTGGTAGAAGAAGAGCATTGGCTCCCTCAGGTGGTTCTATGTACTCTGACCTCCCCACATGTATGATGGCATACAGACACACACAAGCACACACACACACACACACACGCACAATTAATTAACTAGTTAAATGTATTTTATTTAATAAAAACAAATCATTTGTACATATAACTTAAGAGACTATATCCCTTCCTTCTGAGTACCTCTTTTTTCAGGATGTCATTTTAATGTTTGTACACTATTTTCTTGTGTTGTACATCACTAATGCCTTTTCGGTTGCTGTGGTTAAACCCCATAACCAAGACAGCTTACAGAAGGATTTATTTGAGCTTTTGGTCCAGAGGGATAAGAGTCCATGACTATCATATAAGAAAATGGGGCAGTGGGCAGATACGGTGACTGGAGTAGCAAACTGCGCGCTCACTCTCAAATCTCAAGCAAGAAGTGTGCAAGGGAATGGCCCCTAGCTTTGAAACTTCAAGGCCTGCCCCACTGACAAATTTCCTCCAGCAAGGCAACACCTGCTAAGTCTCCCCAAACAGCCAGCAACTGGGAGCCAGGTATTCAAGTGCCAGAGCCTATGGGGAGGAGAGTCTTATTCATTCCACCACACCACTGGACACTGAAGTCATTTCCAGTACTTATCTAAGTAGAGTTTGCAATCTAGACCCTTATATTGAAATAGTCAGACATTTTAACATTTGTTCTATAAAGTATCTTAATTACGCTTAAAGCATTATCTTGTGTATAGTGTCTCTACTCAATACCAAGAGCTCAGCTCTGAAATCAAATACATACAATAAACATTATACATACAGAACAGGATATACTTATATATTTAGTAATACATATGTAATATATATATATAATCCAAATAGAAACAATTAAAGAAAAAGAGGCCATGAACTAAAGAAAGATCAGGGAAACTATTAAGAGGGGTAAGAGGAAGCAAAGAAAAGAAATTAAGGAATTATAACTTAAAAATATATTATAAAAACATTATTTTGGATTAATATATAAATATTCTATGCCGTTTTAAATTCCTGCTTTCTGATTTCCTTCCTTCTTAGTTCTTATTATAACTTTTAATTTACAAGCATTGACTGGGAAGCCCATCAATTCATCATCAATCATAAGTGCCTCATCTACACAGCTGATTATTGGATTCATTTTACTGTGCCAGAGTGACCTAAGGAAGAATATTTTGCCTAGGAGATTTGTGGGGCAAGAGAAATTATGGAGAAAGTCCCAGCCATGAGAGAGAATAAAAGCCTTCCCACACTAAGGGGCCGGTGAACATCATGAGGGAACTAGCCCATTGAATGGGCAATCGGGCCCAGGTTCTGGAAAGACGGATGAGGGCTGATGGAAGACAGGCACTGTCTGATTCTTACTTCACTCCTTAATACAACTAATCGACATACAAACAAGAATGTTTCCTGCTTCCATTCCTCCACTGTGCAAGGGCAAGTGCAGATGCTCTAGGAAATGCGGGAAGAGTGTATCCAGTCTAGAAGTGTATCAAGAGTTACACCTCAACAGAATCTGGGGTAGGGACTACTGCCAAGGAAACCATGTCTGTTCTATGCATGTCTTCCTAGTCCTGCTATATAAGGCCCCTATTTAAATTTTTAGGAGAGGAAACCTTGCTTTATTCCTTAACATATTGCCCTGTCAAATTCTGTCATTTGCCACATGTGGTGGTGCATGCCTATAATCTCAGCACTGGGGCGGATGAGGCAAGTTTGAGGCTGCCTAGACTATATGTGGCGATTCAACCTCAAGATAGATAGAAAGATAGATAGATAGATAGATAGATAGATGGGTAGATAGATAAATAGATAGATAGAGGATAGATGGATGGATTAATAGATAGTCAGACAGACAGATAGTAGGATAGATGGATGGATAGATGATAGATAGATAGATAGATAGATAGATAGATAGATAGATAGATGATAGATAGATAGCAAGTGTTTTGATAAGTTTCTTTTCATCATCAGTACATTCTTCCAGCCTTTCTGTTCTACTTGCTGTTATATCCTCTCTGCTTCCCTTCTAAATACATGGATACAGAAGTAAATAATGTGCAGAGGCAGCATATCTCAAGCCCCAGGACACAAGGGCAAAAATAGCTGAGGGACATTCTGTTGACCCACAAAGCTGCAAATGTGGCACTCTACTTTACAGACATTATTTCTCCAAGTACACTCATTTCCACTTCACAGATAGAATCTGTATTGTGTAATTGCTGTGTGTGTGCACGCGCATGCACGTGCGTGCATGTGTTTTGGATAAAGATCATGGCCCCATTGCTGACCTGCAGTGCCCAGCAGGGCACTCCACAGGCATTGTTCCAAAAGGAACAAAAGAACAATTTTTTCTTTATACCAGCTCAAAATAGAAGTGCCCTTTTCAATACTGCCTAATATTGTAATGTTCCTGTCTTTTTTTTTTTTTTTGACTGACTTTAACCACTGGGTCACTCATCCGCAACATCACTCTCTAGGTTTCTCTGAGTCCTTTGCTCACACACAGCCAGCTACATTTTTTAAGGTTGAATCACATTTCGTTTTCTTGTTTGTTTTAAGCTATATTTAGGACTGTGGTGTCTCAATTCTTAATGGTGTCTGTAACAACTCCCAAATTAGGAAGCTCTTCAAACTTCTCCAGCAATGTGTTGTTCCTTTGCTTTTTCAAATCATCTCATGGTGTTAACATAATAACTAATATTTGTACAGTGACTTACAGTTTACAAAA